AGCGTCCAAAACGGCCTCGGCGAGGAAGCCAAAATCATTGGTTTTACTACGGTTTTGGCTCCATTTTGGCCTCCTGGGGGGGGGACGCTAATTCGACACCCCCCCTCCTGTGATCGATCTCACCCAAGATGGCCCAAAGATGGCCCCTAGGGCTCCCAAGGGTGCCCCAAGAGGGCCCCAAGAGGTGGCCAGGAAGCCCCAAGAGGCCCCAGGATGCCCCCAAGAGGCTCCCAAGAGACCCCCAAGAGGCCCCAAGAGACCCCCCAGAGGCACCCAAGATGCTCCAAGAGGCCTCGGCGAGAATGCCAAATCATTGATTAAGGTTTTAGCCACATATTGGCCTCTTGGGGAGGGGGCACTGATTAAGATGACTCCAAGAGCGCCTGGGAGAGCCCAAGATGACCTCCAAGATGGCTCAAGATATCCCAAGATGTCTCATAATGGTTTCCTCTGTGTGCTGCCCAATTCCCTGATCGAGGCACTTCCTCTGGGCATTGTTTCTGGATGGGCTGGTGGGGATTCGCGAAGCGTCAACAATTCACTGCTCCACTGAAGTAATGGACCACAGTCCACGCATGCCAACCCGCATTCCGAAAGGCTTCGGGGAAAATGGCTGCGTAGGGGGGCGGAGGCCGGATGAATCGGGCTCCCAGAAGGACTTCTGGGAGCATGGGCTTTGGGGGCGTCTTGGGGAGCCTGTTGGGGCGTGCAGCCGTCGTCGTCGTAATGTCGTCGTCGCCTCTTGGGGCGCGCCGTCGTCGTCGTCGTCGTCGTCGTCGTCGTCGTCGTCGTCGTCGTCGTCGTCGTCGTCGTCGCCGTCGTCGGTTCGAGAGGGCACTTTGCGCGAAACGATCTGCGGAGGGCCGCGAGAGGGCGATCAGTCATGTCCCCTGTCAACTTCCCGGACAGCTCTCCTGTAGCATGATGGTACTTCGAAGCCTCCGGAGACTCGCGGGCCCATGATGAACCCTGTCCCCGGAAGGCTTTCTGGGGACATGGTTTGTTGGGGTGTGTTGGGGGGCCTCTTGGGCGCTCCCTGGGGGCACCCTGGAGGCCTCCGGGAACTCGCGGGCCCATGATAAACCATGTCCCCGATGGCTCTCTGGGGGCATGAGTTCTTGGGGTGTGTTGGGGGGCCTCTTGGGGCGTTCCCTGGGAGCCCCTTGGGGGGGGGCTTCCTGGGGACCTCTTGGGCGCCTCACGGGGCTTCGTGGGAGCCACATGGTAGCCTCTGGGGGCCTACTGGCGGCCTCTAGGGCCAGAAACGTCGAAACATCGGCTAGCGGTCCCCCTCTGGGCCCCCTCTTGGGGAGCTCTTAGGGCACACTTGGGTTGTCTGGGGAGCCTCCTGGGCCGTCTTGGGGCCCTCTTCGGGGCCTCGTGGGCCGTCTTGGAGCGATCTGAAGGGCCTCCGAGGCCGTGAGGCGCTGGGAAGCGCGGAAAACGAACGCCTAAATCCTTCAAACACCATCGGAAAATGAGCGAATCTTGCCTCCCAGGGCCCTCTTGGGGAGCCTCTCGTAAAATGAGGAAGTACACAAAAGTAAAACAAAAAAAAAGAAAAAAAAAAAAAAAATGGAAAAGGTCCGTCCTGGATATAAAAAACCGGAAAAAGGAAATTAGTAAAAAAAAAAAAAAAAGAAAAAAATAAAAAAAGCGTGTTGGAGTCCTACGTCCGTCCGTCGGGAGGGCATCTTGGGCGTCTTCGGGGCCTCTAGGGAGCGTCTTGGGCCCTCTCGGACATCCATCAGGATTCGTGGCCTGCTTCGGGCGGGCCCCGGCCGCCTCGGGACCCTCTGGCCTTCTCATTGGGGCACACTTGGGTTGTCTGGAGCCTACTGGGCCGTCTTGGGGCCCTCTTCGGGGCCTCGTGGGCCGTCTTGGAGCGATCTGAAGGGCCTCCGAGGCCGTGAGGGAGCGCTGGGAAGCGCGGAAAGCGAACGCCTAAATCCTTCAAACACCATCGGAAAATGAGCGAATCTTGCCTCCCAGGGCCCTCTTGGGGAGCCTCTCGAGTCCGTCCTGGAGCGTGTTGGAGTCCTCGTCGGCCGTCTTGAGGGCATCTTGGGCGTCTTCGGGGCCTCTAGGGAGCGTCTTGGGCCGTCTCGGGACCTCCATCAGGATGTCGTGGCCTGCTTCGGGGCGGGCCCGGGCCGCCTCGGGACCCCTCTGGGTTCTCTTGGGGCACACTTGGGTTGTCTGGGGAGCCTCCTGGGCCGTCTTGGGGCCCTCTTCGGGGCCTCGTGGGCCGTCTTGGAGCGATCTGAAGGGCCTCCGAGGCCGTGAGGGAGCGCTGGAAAGCGGGAAAAGCGAGAACGCCAAAATCCAAAACACTCAGAAAATGAGCGAATCTTGCCTCCCAGGGCCTTGAGGAGTCTCTCGAGTCCGTCCTGGAGCGCGTTGGAGTCCTCGTCGGCTGTTTTGCGGGCATCTTGGGCGTCTTCGGGGCCTCTAGGGAGCGTCTTGGGCCCTCTCGGGACCCCCTTAGCATGTCGTGGCC